GTTTCTTTGAAGGAATCCTTTAAAGCCACTTGGCATTTTGGTGAAGATTAATTTAGTTAAAACTGGATATAAATCCTAAAGTGGCACTTGTAAGCTTCTATAACGAATTATGCCGAGGCGAACCAATCAGCGAAGAAGTCACTATCAACCTATTCACATGTCACCGCCCTCCCTTGTCACAGCCCTGAGACCAGCTGACACATTCAGTGACTGGAGGCACTTGTGCCTTTCTAGAGCAGCAAAATCAAGTTTTCATATTATTTCATGTTTTTAAACATATAAACGAAAGGTATATGCTAAACAAAAGGCATATTCCTAAACTCCAAAGGATCGTCTTGCACATCCTCTGCGGTGTGCCATCTCACTCTGGAAGTTAGAGAATGCATGACCCTCTCTTCAACATCAAATACATTCACTAGTTACACTTAAGTTGATTTAGTACACAGAGAATTCACAGCAAGCATATGACACAGTACCCTGTAACAACTCGTTGCCTCCCCACTCCCAGGCTTCATGGCCCAAGTCTGGCAACCACTAAACAAGCTATGAGAGGGAAACTTATTTGAAAAAACAGAAATTATTTGTAAGATCAAGAAACGAAAACAGAAGCTAGGTAAAGGAGATAATTTAAATGATAACAGATATTCCAACTGGTAGATGGGAAATCAAAGTCTATTTGAATAGAACCTTTTTTCTGCACATTCTTAATGAACATTCATGTCATGATCATGCCAATCCAACCAGTCATTTTATATATCTAAAAATGCAGGCTGTTATGTATTATTCTGTTTTGTTATATAATAGTAATTATATGTTTTAATCAGCTTAAAGGAGAGGAAACACTGACACCTTTGGCTTAGAATAGGTTCTCCATTTGAGCAGTAAGGATTACGGCATTGTTTCTTTTTAATCCAGTATTCTCCAGTTTGGAGTTTTATGATCTTTGTAATATAAATGTATTTAATTATTTGAGATGTATTTTTCCCAATGTTCTGAAATTCTCTAGCAAAATATTTTTAAAGTAAATAAAATTTAAATCCAAAAATCTAACCTAGACAAAACTAGACAGCTTTAAGAACAATATGGAAAGACCATCTCAATTAATCTTTGACCACAACAAAATTCGGTGGATTCAGAAGAGATTTAGAGCATAAACATCTACGATTGGGTCTAAACATTCTGTCTTCCATGGAATAACAAAGCAGAAATGTTGGATAAAACAGTCAATCAGAAGTTTGCTTTTGAGATTATAATACTAACTTTGGATATACTACTAAATCTTTCTTACAGTAACAACATAAGTTTCAGATTATTAGTAACTAACTACAGGTTTAAAAAAGTTAATAATGGTCAGAAGTAATGTAAACTTTGTGAAACTTATTTTTGAGGAGGCATTCGTGAAAACTCAAGAATTTGAATTTATGCCAATTCTGTTTTTGCACAAGTATTAAATCTCCAAGACCAGAAGAACACAAAATTGCAGCCAACAAACCACACTGTGGTTCAAATTTTCTGAGCATGTTTACGCAAAAACTGCAGAGTAGTTGGAAAGCCATTTTTAAGGCCACTGGACAATTACACTATTTAAAAATTTACAGTGTTTCCAGACTATGCAGGAAGCAAAGTATTCGGCAAAATAACAGAGTGAGGCCAATTCACCTTTACCTTCGACTCTAAAGGTTTAGTCACTTCTGGTAATCATTTAGCCACTCAATAAACGCCTGCCTTGAACAGTCAAAATTTTCCAAAGTAGAGCAACAACTTTCATGGGTGGGGCAAGAGGCTGAGAAGGAACAGAATTCATTTTGGCTTGCTCCGGCGTTGGAAAAATATTTAGCACCACGCCCTCGACACAGGCCTAACACAGCCAAGGCTACTGTCAAATCAGTCCATTCTGATCTGTTGTCACGGTCCTCTAAGGAACCAAAACAGGGCGAAATAATAAAACGAGTACAGAAGTTTGGCGGCAGCGGGGCTTGGGGATTGGGGCACCTAAAAGAGAAGGAGGAAAACCATCCTAACAATGTCCCAGTTGTTTCACATCTTCTAGAATGGAAGAACATTTTACTTAACCGCCGGTAGTTTAATTCTTTCCACCTGGCCCATCTCACATGCCTTACTCATCACGGCCACCTTCCCGAGCAGACCATTACTCAGCACCCAGGTGGACGGGCAGCGCGTCGGCTCCGGCCAGCCTGGGGGAGCGGGTCCTGGGGAAGCCGAGGGGGGAGGACACCGGCGCCGAGCGCGCAGGTGACAGCGGCCCGCCCCACGCCCTCCGTGCCCTCCCGGACCCGCAGCCCGGATTCGGGAACCGAGGAGGGAGCGACCCGCACCGGCCCCCCGCACAGCCGGGGAGTTGCAGGCGGGCTCCGGCAGAGAGCCCGGGGGTCCGGAGGAGGCCGCGGGGACGCGACGCTGCCCCCGGGACGCCCCCCGCCCGGCGCACGCCCACCTCCCAGCCCTCAGCCCAACTTTAGCCACTGCCCGGGGAGCCGCGTCCGCGCCCAGCTGCCCCGGCCCACAGCCGGCCGCCGCGCCCCTCACGACCCCCTTACCTTCCCGTTCTTGGGGCTGCCGTTAAGGAACAGGGTCACCCGCCTCATCGCGCTGCCCCCGCCGGGTCCTGAGTGAGCCGCCACCCTCCCACCTTGCCCTCCTCCCACCTTTTTCTCCTCCCTCCCGTCCCCTCCCTCCACCCACTCGGGCTCTCCTCCCTTCGCCACCTTCCTTCTCTTGCGGACACACCACACACACGCACTCTGTCCCACACCCCGGGGTTGGCCGGTCCTCCTTCCCACCCCGCCCCTAAGCTCCTCAGCCTGCCTGGGGCCCTTCCCCCACCTCTGCGAGACTGACACTGCGCCTCACCAATCAGCCCGCCGCACCGGCCAGAACTCGGCCAATCGGCACCCTGCGTTGGGTGGGCTCTGGCTAACCCCGTCGGGACGGTGGGAGGGAAAAGAGGTTGCAGGGTAGCAGACGGGAAGGTGTATCGGCCAATCAGAGCAGAACCTGGGGCCGGACGGCGGCACCAAGCGTTACTGAGCAGGCGCAGATCCAATTCTAGGTGGTGCTCATCTGCATGCGGAGGCGGGGTTTGAAGAAAGGAGGTGGAGCGCTAGACGGGCACCAGTCAGCACCTCCCCCTGCCTTAACCCCGCCCACTCGTCCAACCTACCGAGGAAACGGCCGCCGTCGGGACTGATTGATTGGGTAAGAGCCATCCCGTCGTTCTGCCAGGATTGGCCCAATGATCTTTTCGAAGTTTGCAGCATCCAATCGAAAGATGGGAGGCGGAGCTAAAAAGATAACCGATGGGTTACTCCGCGAGACTCTCGCGGAAAGTAGTCCCCGCGGGTCCAAGTTAGCAGGTGGTGTCCCCGGTCAGCGCGTTGTGCGCGGCTGGCGGCGGTTTCTCTCGGAGCCCGGGAGAGCCGCTGCTGTGCCTCAGACGGCGAGCAGCGGGCCCCGGGAGCGCTCTGGGCGCGCGCGGACGCCAGTGGGGCGGCGGCGGAGAGGTTCGTGGAGTAACGCCGACGCCGAGGGGCGGGGCCGCGGTTTGAATCCGGCGGCGGCGGCGGCCTGGCGGGGCCGGCCTGAGGCGGCGCGGGCTGAGGGGTTGCTGGACGACCCGGGGAGCGGTTCCGCCGCCGGCCTGGCTGGCAGCAGGTGCTTTCCCAAGCGGACCCTGCCGGGCAGGAGAGCCGAGATCTGGAAGGTGCAGACGCCGGCGCCGGGGGGCGAAGGGCGGCGGTGGTCCGAGGCTGAGGCGGGCGAGTGTCCGGGCCAGGTTGCCGCGCCGGGACTACGGGGCCATTTCCCCGGCTACTTCTCGGAGTCTCTTCTGCTCATCCCGCACCGCGGAGCCAGCGGTCCTCCAAGCACCTGGTCTGGGTCCCCGGGCCCACCCAGACCAGCTGAGGTAGAATTCCTGGAAATGCACAGAGCTGCGTCGTTCTCGGGGTGCCCTGGCGCTCCCCACGTTGACGGAGGGTGAAAGGCCTCGACTTAAGTCTGGGCTCTGGGGTCTGCTTTGTTTTAGCTCGAACTGCCGTTTCCTCCTTTACTTTCTCTTGCATTTGAGCTTCAAAAGTACCCCCTTAACATGTGTTTCCATGCCAGTATGGATTGTATTAGAATTCAGTCTTGAGTAAGGTTCTTGATCGAATCACGTTAACTTTGCTGGTTATTTTTTTGTTTGTTTTTCTTTTCTGTTTTTCTCCCCTCTTCATCTTTTAGATGGATGCCAAATCAAAAGACAAGCCCTCTGAAACCAAAGAGTCTGCTATCACTAATGCTGGTACGTGGTGCTCTGCTGTTACCTCCTTGTGAAATTTAAGGTTTAGACATTTGTCCTGGTAATGATGTTTAGCCGCTGCACCATGTTTGTGTTTCAGAAAATGCCTCATTCATTTTGGGGACAGGGAAGAGTGTGACTCCTCAGAAGCATGCAGCAGAAGTACCTCCTAATCTTTGCACGCCAGATGCTTTTAAATCACCTATGAACTTCTCCACAGTAACCCTAGAACAATTGGGAATTACAGCTGAAAGCTTTGTTAAAAACTCTTCAGGTAAGAAAGGTTGTCATTGTAGTGTTTTTCAAGTTTAAAAATAACTACTAAAACTCAGCTTTGTTTGTCTATATGTACCGTTATTACTGTAGGTGTCTAAATTGATTTTTTGCAAACTTGCTTTCTCAGGGAGACTTCCATGCACATGCACAACTCATCTAGCATTGCAGGAATTAACGGGGTCCGGGCACACCAAGTGTGATAATGTGCCTAGGTCAGAGTTGTGCTTTGTGCCCATACTGGACAAGAATGGTGTGTGACTCACTTTTTGACCTGACACAAGGGATACAAAAGGGTGTATAACATGAATAATGATGCATTTTATTTTCATATTTGGCAAAAAGAGAAAATGTAAGCGCAATTAAGAAAATAATAACATGGAAAGATGGAGTATGCCTCCTTCAGATATCACAAACAAAATTGACTTGGGCTAATCTCCTTCAAGCAATAGAAATGAAATTCATCTGTGAAGTCTAATGTAGATGGAGAAGAAAGAAATGCTGTATGGGAATGGAATTGGCTTAGAGCAGCAGTCCCCAACCTTTTGGCACTAGGGACCAGTTTCATGGAAGACTATTTTTCTAAGGACTGGGGATGGGGGTGGTGAGGGGAGTGCGGAGCTCTTGCGGTGATGCACAGCCCATTTCCTAACAGGCTACGGCTCAGGGGTTCAAGACCACAGGCTTAGAGGACAACATTTAGAAATGGAGGATAACGGAGGACTTTGGAGTCACAGGGCACTATAATACATGAATGAGATAAAGCCAGGTGGCACACCATCCTGTCTGTCCTCCTCAAGAACATTAGTCCCTTAGACCTTTAAAAACCCAGATTCATTTTGTGTGCTTAGGCATATGGCCAAAATTCAAGGTAATGCTTAAGGTAGGTAGATATCTAAGAAACAAAATTATCTTCAGGAATTAAGAACGTGAGAGTGCCTACGTGGAGATCTTAGCCTTTCAGGCTAAGACTGACTAATTCAGAAAGAGAGAAATTCTTAGTCAAAAGCAAGACATTACCCACCTCTATGTGCAGAAAATATGGGACAAAAAAGAAAACTATTCATTAAAATATGTTCATGTTTTTATTCAACAACTATTCAATAAATGTTTTCTGTGTACCAGGCACTGTTCTAGGATTGTGGACTAAATCGGTGGACAAAACAGAGATCCCTATCCAACTGATTATGTATGAACAACTTTGCCAGTAATTCTCTACTTAGATGTCTGTAGCATGTATTTTATCTTGTTTTCTCTCTCAGGCTGGTACATCACGAGCATTGGACATGATTACTGATGAGTGCCTTGTTTTGTTCCAATTTATGAGAGTATTTCATTACAGGAAAGTCATCATCCTATCTTAAAAAATCCAAACGACGATCTGCAGTTGGTGCTCGGGGCTCACCTGAAACAAACCATCTGATTCGTTTCATTGCTGAGCAGCAGAGTTTAAGGACTGCTAAGAAGTCTCCTTGGGCACGGGATTCCCCTGCGCAGGTATGATTTTCTTCTAGTTTCCGTCATGAAGCTTTTGTGCAGTGCTTCTGCCTTCTAGTGTATCTCATCTGTTTTGGATCTGGAGAGAGAGAATTTTCTCTGTGTCCTAATGGAGAGTATGCAATGGATATTTTAAGAGTTGTGAGACCCTGGATAGAAATGGCTTTCTAGAGGAGCTTTCTGTTTTATTTTGCAAATTTTTTCTAGTGAGTGTCCATTTTTCTGTAATGAAGTGAGACACTACAATGTTTTTCTTTTAATAGCTTATCTCCGAGCTTCTAATTTTTTCATGACTACTGTGTGTTAGTTTATAGGGGCAAGGGTTTCCCCGGGGCAAAATGTATTTGGGACAACCTTGTGGAAAGGAGCAAATTATTCATCTTCTGATGGGGGTGTATAAAGCTATACAGAGCAGTCAAAGAGGTGTCTTTATTTAAAGTAGAAGTTAGATCATTCACCCTGCTGTTCAGAAACATCCTGTGGCTTCCTGTGATGCCTTGAATTACACCAAGACCCCTTCCTGGAGCCTCATGCCCTCCTGTGGGCTGCTCTCCCCATCTCTTCCCATTTGCTGGGCACGCTGGCCTTCATTCTGCGCCATCCTCTTTTCACCCAAGGCTTTGGCTCTTGTCCTGCCTTGTTCTTGCAGAATGCTTCCCTCCTGCGATATCTTCCCTTAAACCACTTTCTCATTATGAGTTTTGTTTTCAACTCAGATTTTACTTCAGACAGGGTTCTGTCCTAGTTCTAGCCAACACAGCACTTTTAGGGGCCTGGCCACATTACTGTTTTATCTTCTCAGTAGCACCTCTTGTACCTGGAACTATGTTAATAGGTTTTCAGAATTTCACTCTAGAATATAATTTCTCCCCTGGATACGGAGCCCCTGGAACAGTTTCTGGTCCATGGAAGGAATGTTGAGTGACCAACACAGTTCATAAGTCAAAAGCATCAAAAAAGCAATACATCTGGGATGTTTCATTTATTTTGTATATGAGCATTGGTCTCTTTCTCCAGCAGGAAATAGAGAAAAAAAAATTCGACTAGAGAAACTTAATTGCTTTAAGCAGCATTTCAAAGTGCTCCAAGTTCCTAGGGTATTAAACCTTCCCCTACCATGTTCAAATAAGACTACCAAAAAAAAAAAAACACATTCACGGTAAATTGTGTGACCCTGAGATAATTTTTTCTCTATCGTTCATATATGTAGATGAGTTGTCCACAAGCCTTTTCCGAATGTTCTGTGCTGTTTATGTCGTAAAGGTTTACATCATCAAGCCTATTTAAATTCAAAACGTCTATTAGTGTGTAATAGAGAGTTTGCTTTATGAATGTATTCAGTGGGGATAAAAGCAGTGTGTGAACAGAGCACCATCAAACATGGCTTCAGGATTTTAACTGCTGCATCTCCATACGATATCTTAAAGGGAGGTAATTTTTTACTTTTGCCTATAGGTGTAATTTTTTAAGTTGTCACATGCTCTCTATCAATGGAATTGTGTTCGCAGTCCAAACAATAAAGGGAAAAAATCTTGGTAGAGAACTTAATCAGTAACTTATTTTATATGTAAACCGAACTCTTAAGTTTTATATTACTTTCCTGTATTTGACACTTCTGTCCCTCATAGTATAAATTTCATTTTAATCAATCTTTGGCTGGAACCCTGTTAGTGGGGTTTCCAGGGAGCTCCTGTGCTTACACCATCAAACTTTGTGTTTTAAGGAAATGGCTGGCTTCAGCCCTAAGGAAGCAAGCCTCCTCCAGGGCCCATACAATCAGGAACATTTAGCTGGGGAGAGCGGGAGGGGAGAGTAATGTGAGCCTGGCTATCTGAGCACATATGGACCTTCTGTGTCCTATCCTGGCCTCCTGGGCTGGAGGGCACAGGTGGACCGAAGAAGGTGCACTGAGACATACATGTGACAAATGTTTTGTGCAGATGACTTCTTATGGACACCTACAGCACACCTTTGGCAGAATTTCCAGATGGGCCGGTTCCTCCTGTCCCTTGCTCCTTGCCTTATGCCAGGATTCAGTGGGTTTTTTGGGCCTTCCATATAATCTCAGTCTAGCGTTTCAGCATTTTTGTGCTAAACATCTTTCCCTTTTCCATTCAAATTTGGTTCACTGAGGTGAATCAGGCAGTAGAAGCTAAGGTATGAATGAAAGCCCTTAAACCCCTCAGAATCCTTCTGAGAGTTGTTTACTCCCCAGATAATGGAGGATACACTTTTTATGAGTCTCTTTTTAAAGCATTTTCTACTTACTCCAGACATCTTTTAGTATGATCCAGGGACTCATCAGTATTAACCAGCACATAGCTGTACATCTGTGTGTATCACTCAGCTGTTCCTCTTTGCTCAGGTTTTGCTAAAAGTTGGGGGAAAAGCAGAGGGGAGACAGATGATTACAGCTCACCAACTGTTCAAACTGGAAATGTGTAAATCCAGGGTGAAGAGGCTCTGCCACAGGAATCCATTACCCCTGATCTTCAGAAAGCCTTTTGTGTGCTATATTAGCCTTGAATTCAATGGCTGTAGGCCTAGAATAAAGAAACTGTGTTTGATTTGATTTATGATACCCTGTATGTTTTGTACTTTCACAGGGCAGCCCTGCACTGTATCGAAATGTTAACTCTTTAAGAGAGCGAATATCCTCTTTCCAGTCAGTTTTTCACTCCATAAAGGAAAACGAGAAAATGGCTGAG